TCGCTGCGTGCAACCTGTCAGGTACAAAATCCAGCTACCTCGCTGGTCGGCGCCGATATAACGGCGGCTGCACTGCCTACACCAAACGGCCGCAAGCGCCCATTTGCGGGCCAAGCGGCACGGGCTTTGCAGGTTCATGCAGAGACATTCAAACGGACACATGGCCATGTCAGTAGCTTGCTTGAAGCCCCGCTTGCAACCGCGCCAGGCCAACCAGTGCCACATCATCGTCGATGGTGAGTGCTGGGTTGGCCAATTCGCCGTGTGGCGGTTTCCCGTGATGCAACCGTCAGACATCCAGGTTTGGGAAGCCTGCCCTCTTCCCGTGCACGCCTGGTTTGTCCCTGACAACTGTTGCATCTGCACGGCAATCGGCTCCGGCTGTGTTTCACTAGGGGGTGGCGATTACGATGGGGGCCTTTTGATGTTCACATCCAATCCCATCCTCCTTAAGTTCCTTGATTGCACGCCCAGTGGCACGGAAGTGCCCGAATTCAATGCTGCTCGAGCGCATGTAGAGGGTCTTGTGGAGAAATCCAGCCCGACCCGGTTGCGCAGCATAATGCAGTATCGAGAGCATTGCTTGCATGTTCCACCGCCGCAAATCCGAGGGCTCCTCACTGCATTGGCAGAGAGAGCCCAGCAACAAGTTTTTGATGCATCGGATCCCGAACGGGACGCGGCCTTAATTCATTGCGTCCGCCTGGCCGTCGCTGCCGAGAAGGCTATTACGACGCGCCCAAAAAGGTGGACGCCAAATCCATAATTCAATTGGGGCGCCGGCTGCTGAGAGAGGCAGGTCTGACGATCCAGTCTCCACGCTCGACTCAGCGGATCCGGGAAGCATTTAAATTAGGGCGTGTCCACAAAGAAGCGCACATTGCACTGCACGCCCTCCTGCCCCGAATTCCACTAGGCAAGGCTTGGCTTCCTTTGAATAAAGTCACCTTGTCAGCCGCTGCCGGTCACGCCATCCGTGACCGCATGTTTCACCCCAAGTGCATGAATGGCCTTGCGGATCCTTTGGAGCATATATATATATGGCGCTGGACGAAGTCGTCGGTGTCTTGTTCCACCGCTTGGCCAGCGTTCCAAATCTCCGATCGTCCGTACAGGACGGAAATTTGGACGCGTTAATTCATGTGGCACAGACCTTTTCTCGGTCCAAGCCGAAGGAAAGTAATGTAGTGGAAACAATAGAGACGACTAACCTCTATACTGAGCCAGGGCAGCTGCAATTCAATCCAACTGATTCAGATGTGATTGATATCAGCCACATTCAATCAAGTCTCGTTCGCTACTTCATACGCCAAACTACGTGCAATATCTCGCAATTGACCATCTTGCTTTAGAAGCAATATATATATATATATATCATTGCAGGGTTCAGAGTTCAGAGGTTGGAAATCTATTGACAACCGCTGCATCACTGCATGCTTCAATTTTCTCGCAATATCGCTCGTCGAAAAATGACCCGTGCTCCGCGTCCCATTTGCAGTAGTCCACAGCATATTGACACGCAAGATTTCTTGTCATGTGCCTTTTTCACAAGCATCGCCTCCACGCTCACAATCGGATTCCTGAGGTCTGCTCTGCCCTGATCCCAACACCACTGCTTTACATGTCATCCTTCAGGCTACATAAAGGGCGGGAAGATTGCCATGTCTTTTCCTGCCAATCGCATGCTTGGGGTTGCTTTCGTGGGTCGAAACCATGTCCTGTCTAACTGGAAGTTTCTTTTTAATTCAATCAGCTGATCTCTCTTTTTTCTCTTTTCTTGATGACTCCGACGCGAGTCTCGTTTCTTCGATGCCCGTGGTCTGCATGACCGCGTGCTGCGAGTGAGAACGCCTCCCGCCTTGTGTGAACAACTGACTAATATTTTTTCCCAACCAGTGATGGTTTTCTCCACTTCCCAGTGGCCTTGGGCCAACCAAGGTGCAGAGTGGTATGGCAGGGTGACCCGTTACACCGGTCGCAAGACCCAGGAGCTGCTTCTGATGGCGCCCAAATGGTTGTTGGTAAAATAATAGAACGTACCATATCCTTTGTTCAACAAGGTTTAAAGAAGGTTTAACATGGTTTAACATTCGCTCAAAACATCTCAAAACCCAGTTTTTGCTAGTTGAATCTTCATATTTTTAGCTCGAATCCAGATTTTTGCGAGGAAATTCCTCATTTGGTTACCCAGGGGTAAACTAACATAGATCTGGAAAATGATCTATTCATGGTATTTTTTTCCCACATCTATGTTAGGTTACAGGATTGTACACCCCGATTTTTGTTGGATAATTCCCAAGATTGGATTGAAAAAAGTGCAGGAAACCCCCATGTTTGATGATAGACGCCATGGTTTCCGGTTGAGATTTTCCCTTAAATCCATCTGGATAAGTCATAGCGACCTCACTGCGACGTCACTGGAATGATGGTTAGATTGCGGGGAATCATTCCCTAATGACCGCAAGTTTCAGGTTAGTGAATTGTTATGATTTAGCCAGATTAATGGATTATTAACCATGATCAACCACTATTAACCATTATTAACCACTATTAACCACTATAGTCACCACTATTAATGGCTTATGGTTTGAAATCCCACCAGAGCTGGTTTCCTTTGCAGATATTACCAGAGGCTTTCTATGGAAAATGCTCCCCCCCTCCCTGGCACCCCCAAACATAGCACAACTATACCCAGATCTATTGCGGAATAGTTATTCTCATAGTGATTCCCACAGTGATTCCCCATGAAACATGGAGCCGGTTGTTATAATGAACCCTCTGGTTATGACTAACAGTTTGCCATGGTATAGATGGCCCATAGAAATCGATGGTTTACTGAACTCAAAAGTGGTGGATCTTTCCAGTTCGCTATGTTAAATAACCAGATGGTATCCATTTATATCCCACTAGTATTGGTTATATCCAATCATAGTCTTGTAATAACCATCTATAATAATAGGTAAACCCGGAGGGTAACCCAGATTCATCGCAGTATTCTTTGCAGGACATCCTGGCAGAGCTGGGCCGGGTGAGTAGCGAAGCATTGCAGCTGCTACGGACCGTGCGCGCCTTGAACGCGGAGGCGTGGCAGCGGCCATGTGCTGCCAGAATTCGGTGGTTAAAACTTTGGGGTTAAGAAGGATTAATATAAAAAATAGGGGATCGAACAAAAGTAAAGGTTTTGAATAAGGATTCAAGCAAGAACAATTGAACATTTGGGAAAGATGAATGAAGAAGGAACCATTGGGAATTACGCCACAAGAATGTGGGGTTAACACAACTGGGAGATTGACCAACAAAAGAATGGTTTAAGCAGCAGCAACATCATCTTTTGGTTACCAAGTAGCTCCACCACTAAGAGTACATGGCACATTTGGACAGCACATTTTAACCACATCCACTCGGTATCAACATTAGGGCTGTGCCATCTGTATTTTTTGATGTTTGAGCCTCTCAACATGCGATACACTCTGGTGGTGGCCATGGAACATACCAACTTTTCATGAACATTTTTACATATATTTGGGTATGGGTCAATACCTATAGATACATTTTTAGTGGGATGAACATCCATTTAGCAGCTATTTTGGGGTTCACTAGGTACCAGGGTTTTGACCCATCCCCATTTACTGTAGGATCATCGGATAATCATTGAATTTTGGGTGATGTTATGTGATGTTCGATATTGATATTGCCAGGTGATCCGGCATAGCCCGGCATAGCGAAGATGTCCCTGTTATGGCATGGGCGTTCAGGATTTGCATCGGCGACTCTTCCAGCGACAGAATGTCCGGGTCACAGGGATGGAGGGATGGGAAGACGAGAGGCCGCATCCAAGCAGGTGATACGATAGGATTATACATTATTATGCATTATTATGCATTATGTTTGTAGTGGGTTAAAATCAAAGACCCCCGAGTTGTTGGGGTAGTTCTTCCGATTCGCAGGGTGACTTCACCCTGCTACCCTGCTAAAAATCACACCCAAATAGCAATGAGTTGTTGCTGGATCGTTATCCCTCCGTCACCACTGACATACCCATCTTCCAAATGCCCCCATTTGCAATGGTTGGTAGACAATTTTTGCTGATGTTGATGATAATTGTTAGTACAGTAACACATGTCAACGGACCCACCATTTTCATTCATTCCTCAGACCAACATGTGAACCACACATCTTCACCACTCGGCCTATCCGTATCCCGTCACCAATTTTTTTCCAAATCCTTGGCGCGAACCAAACAGAGGACATCATCAATGACACACAGCGCCAGCGAGGCGGAAATGGATTCGACTGATCCAAAGGATGGCATAGACATTGATGATCCAAAGGTTGAATAATCACCAAGCGAAAATGGTACTGTAGGAATGACATATTACTGGCCCGGTATGATTTTTAATGAGCATGATATAATAGCAATGATATAATCATTGATGTTATTACTATCCAACAGATAATCATTGAACATGATAGTAATAACATGCAGATAAGCATATCAACCTAACTATTGACAACACAGAATCGTGAAAGTAATCATCCATAGGTCGATTATGATAGTATTTACATAGTATTACTATGATTCTGGTTGATACATGCAATATATAACAATAACAATGATTTTCACACAGTCGCAATTTCTTGTGATCCATTGTGATTCTGGTTGAACAATGACAACGGTACAATGACGAACAATAAATGATACGATAAGCTATTGATAGTAACATATAGTAGATCTATTCTTAATGATTCTTAATGATTATTAGGATTCTTAATGATAAAGTACAATGATGATAACAGCAATATTTTTTTTGCCATGAACCTTTTCGTAGCGACCTTACTGGAGGTCACTGAACATGTTCGTTCGAAAAAGGGCTGAGAAAAGAACCATGGCTTTATAAACATATTTGAGAAGCATTAAACAAAGATAAACAATGCCCAGTTCCACTCATAAATTTTGTGGGGCTATAGCGGCTATAGTTCACCATAGTTGTAGGAGTAGGATTGTTTTTTTTTCTCAACTTATGGAGGTTATTTCATCCCCTAGCCATGTTGCCGGCCTGGCCAGCCCATCCCTTGAATTGATGACTGGATTGGTGATCCAATGGATGGTTCACATGGATGGATCCATCCAGAAATCAACGATCCAACGATCCGCTATGAAGGTTATGAAGTGTGGGTTACCCTCTGGTAATTTAACATAGCTATTGAAAATCACCATTTTTAATGGGAAAATCCACTATAAATGGCCATTTTCAATAGCTATGTTAAATTACCAGAGGGTAAATGGATGTTTATTTCTGATTTCATAAAATTATGAATCAACTATCAATCCAAAGATGTGTGGCTTAAATCACAACTTGTGCCGCTTTAATCCGAACAGCCAGGCGTAGCCCTTGGAGTCTTCTCAGCTGCCAGCAACGGATTGGGCGTACTGCTACAGATGGTGTGCCTTGTCACCTTGTCGGTGTGAATGAACCGCGAAAAAGAAAACTCAACTGTATCCGGCCATAGAAATCCAAATTAGGCAGAAACGTATTCTGAAAGAATTGGGAAGATTCGAAGTCCATCTTTTTCCAAGTGGTTTCTTGTTGCTCATTTTTTGCACTTTTCTTCCTGCCATGATCATTGGGGCGCTTCATCCCCCTTTGACCCCCCAAAAAATCACGCCCAAGGACCTTGCTGATCGGCAGTAGCGCTGTGTTGGCGGGATCCATGACAGCAGAGGCGTGGGGGATTTTTTCGGTCGGAAAAGGTGGACGATGTGTGTTGTCTAACCGCAATCTACCCTCTGGTTATGTCAAAATAGCTATTGAAAATGGCCAGTCGAAATAGTGCATGTACCCATAAAAAATGGTGATTTTCCATAGTTATGTTAGTTTACCAGAGGGTAATTGGGAGCTGATTGAGTGGAATGGCTTCGAGTGGTCACAAAAAGTTCACATTTGTGAGTAACTACTGATCTACTGGCCATTCAACCGAAGATATTTCTTTGTCGATTCCTGACCAAAAGGTCCCTCGCAATCTTTCCAGGCGCTCGCGACCTATCTGCTGTATCTGGACACTGCAGTGGACAGCACTTTGGCATTGGCAAAGTTGGGGAGCGCCTTTTTCCAATGCATCTGGATTTCTGGTGTTTTTCTATTGGGATGGGTCAAAACTCTGGAGCCTGGTGAACATTTTTTTGCTGGTAAATGAATATTCATGCCACCAAAAATTGTACTATAAAGGTATTGACCCATAGCCATATTGCTCGGGATAAATTATAACGATCTCACGTTGCGAGCTGCTCCGAGGTGCCTTGGAGCTGGGTATAGCACCTTGGATGCACCATGGCCCATGAATCCTATAGGGAACTCGACCGACGTTCCGACGCCAGGAGTGGTCTTCCTGCAACGATGCCCTGGGCTCCGCCGAGCGCGTCTTAGGGATTCTGGCCCAGGGCGTCACGAGTCAGCGGAGTTCGATTTCTGCAGGCGCGTGAACTGGAAGCAGTTCAACGGAGAAGTTTGCCAACCCAAAATCTCCGACTACATGTAGAGAAATGAGTGCAGGTTGAGGTCGTTGAGGATAGTTTTTTTTATGTTTTTTGGATAGTTGAGGTCTTTTGGAACGTCATTTTCTGCGCTGAGGCATGGCAGTACCGAAAGGAGATGTGCTCTTCGACTCGGTCTGCTTTGCCTATCCATCAAGGCCACAGCATCAGGCGTGGGAGCTGGAGCTGTCAAGTTGGTCATTTTGAAGTGCCAAGTTGTCCTACGGAAAGCCTTAAAACATCTCAAAACGTTTTAAACTGCTTTAAAATCCCTCGTTTTTTGGGGGAAACCATGAAAACAACATTAAACAACATTAAACCATATTAAACCATATTAAACCATATTAAACATCATTACACCATATTAAACCCCTCCAATTGATGGCATGCCGGATGGAACTACGAAGCCACCCTGGCTTCGTTGATATTGGATCTCTTCAACCAGGTCTTGGCCAACGTGTCCTTACACTGCGCGGCGGGGAAGACCACGGCGCTGGTGGGCTTCAGCGGTTCAGGCGCTGGTGATGCCGCTGGGATGGGGATGGGATGGGGATGGGATGGGGAGATGTTTCCAAGTTTTTTTTTGGGGTTAAAACTTGGATACCTCAGATACCTCCTATTTTTTGATTCATAGAAAAAACGATGTCTAATGATAAATGATATGATATCCACTGATGTGAAATCTGTGAAGATGGGCGACCCCTCACTTGGAAGCCTGCAGATCAAACCTCTGGAGGCAAATCGTCACTGCTGAGTCTTCTGCTTCGCTTCTATGACTTGCAGGACTGCCTTCTCAACAGCTGCCATGATGCCATGGTCAAACCAATAGACTGGCAGATACCTTGCCAGGAGGCTGAGGGTTGCGTGAAGTTTGATGATGTCAACGCCTTAGTGAAGCCTTGCTCTCAACTGTAACTGTGCAGACTTTGGGGTAAAACTTGGGAGGTATCCATGGCGATAGCGCCCCGATGCTGTTTTAACATGATCCGGCAGCCCACCCCAGGCCGACGTCCGGCAGTTGGATCGAGTCTGGTTGCGACGGCAGTTGGGACTGGTGCCACAGAGTCCGCGACTCTTTCGCGGAAGCATTGCAGCTGGGAGCCCAAGGCGACCAGTGAGGGTAGCTGGCCTAGGGGGGCTCGCTAACCAGGGTTATCATCCGTTGAAAGTATCAAACATGCACCAGAACGGATGGAACATTTTGTTTGATGCCCACGTGTTTATTTTGTGTCTATCATATAAACATATGGAGTTACATGGAGTTAGCCTTTGACCTTGCAGAATAAAGTACTCAGGGTATAGATAGCTGGGTTTGTCCAGATATCCTATGGGGATGGGAACACTTTTTTTTGCCCCCCCCCCAGTTATTAAAGTTGATGAAGTTGTATAAGTTGGGTTATAACTTACAACCCCTTTCAAATATAGTTATAAGTTATAAGTAAGCATCAAAGACCATAGTTACAATTATTTGCACCAACTAAGCTATCACAAACGGGGCCCCCACTCCGTAGGTCTCTGTAGGTCTTTGATGATTTATTTCGGCCAGTGACTTTCAGTGACTTCAGATGACTTCAGATGACTTCAGATGACTTCAGGAGAATATCGCCTGGGGCTATCCCAGTGCCTCCTTTGCAGAAGTCCGTGCTGCGGCCCAAAGCGCCCTGGCGGCGGAGTTCATCGAGGAACTGCCCGAGGTAGTGAGGGTCGTGATCGTGGCGGGCCACAACTTGCGGTTAAGTCTCCCAACAAAAACCCGGGGCAGAAAAGTGTAGAGTGCGCCCGCAGATTTCATTGAGATCATTTGGGATTCCGAGTTGTTCTTTTTTGATGGTTGCTTAAATCCATTTTTTCATGTTATTTTGTGGAAATTCAACGAAACTTGGGGGGAAGTTGTGGCAAATTGATGCATAGAACTGGATTCTCGGCATACTATCGAAACTAAAAGTTTAAGTCCCCAGTTTGGGGTTGAGATAGGAGATTTCAGCTGGAAAAATGATGATTCGACGCCATCATTCCTGTATTGTAGTCTGGGTCAAAATGTAAAGCCCCGATCCATACCCTGAACCCACAGGCCGATCCATACCCCCGATCCATACCAAAACGCAGGTGATCAGACCGATATCCATACGTCTGGATCACCGGGCCGATCCATACCCGAATTTTGACGCAACCCCAATGTATTTTAAGCATTCCAAATTTGCCTAGAGTCAAAACTGAATATCCTCGGAACCATTGACATTAGTCATGTAGGAACCAATCCCGTATTGTGTGCTGAATACCGTGCGATCTTCCATCACGCCATGTGGCCTACAGAGCCACAGGGTCTTTCCAAAGCTCGTGTGGCGCGCGACAGGGCTATGACACCATCTGCTCTGATGACAAACTTCTGTCTGGAGGCCTGCAGCGTTTGAAGTGACACTTAACTTCTCACCATGTTTTTCAACACGTGTTTTTCAACTGTTCGGAAGATTGTTGCGAAAGAACGGACATCAGGAAGATGTGTCATCAGTCTTAAGACTCATTTGCCAAGCGATTGATACTGATGTGACATTATGTGCGTCCATCCCACCACAATTCCTGATCCACAGAAGGTAAATTGACAAGGTCATGTTTGCCCTCATCAACAATCGGCAGGTACTTTTGAAAAACATGAAGCAAGTGAACAGTTTGAAGGTGTTGGAGGTATCCCCTTCACTAAGGTGTTTGGTTGGTCAAGTCGTTGGAGGCGTTGGTTTTGACATGCCAAGTCATATGATAAGATATATGTATTCTCCTCGATAGTCATGTTGACTCCCATGTTTAAAGCCAGGCGTCTGTTTATTCATTCCCAATTTCTGATATATATAGGTAGTTTAACCTATATGTTGCTGTTAAGATACCAATGTCTGCTGGTGAAAAGCACGATTCTTGGTTGAAAGTTGAAATCCCAAGTCGATATCAGCCAATGTCATCCCATTTTTGCCAAGCAGCAATGCAATGTTTGGTCGAAATCCCAGAATTCAGCAACAATTCCCATATTTGTCGCCCCCAAAAACCACTGTGACTCGTTGAAATCTCCAACTTTCGCAGGTCAACGACAGCGCATTGCCCTGGCACGCGCTCTGCTGCGAGACCCGGCGGTCTGGAGCCTTGGAAGACGTGAAAGCGAATTCAACATAAGAGTCTTTATGGCTCCAATTTTTTTGGATGTTTGGATATTTGTGTGTGTTGCATTTGTCATTGTTTTTGGGGTGTTATATGATAATATATATATATAATGAAAATAATATAATATAATATAATATAATATAATATAATTATAATATATATGGGTATATATGTTGATACATGTTGATATTTGTTGGCAGAGTTGTGTTTTTGGTGTTCGCTTCACCGTGACGTCATGATTTTTTCGATAAAATCGACTTTGGGAGGTGCTTCTCTTGGATGAACCGACCAGCGCCCTGGACCCCAAGTCCAGTGCACTGGTTTCCCAAGCCTTGGAGCAGGCAGCAAGTTGGAACCATCTGCAACCATTCAAAAGCAGTTTTTTTTATGCTAAAAAAATCCAGAATCTTGAAATCTGCAATAGCAACAAAAAAAGCGTAACCCGAAATAGTGTATCTACAGCTATCTTCAATACCTAAAACTTTCGACATTTTTACTTGTCAGGAGAGGATCCGATGTTTGGACCGTCAGGCACAGTGGTCCACGCGACGGAATTGCCACCGGACTGTGATTGCCGCGGGCGCCCAGATGGACGCAGCTTCGAGGGGCTCAACTCTTCCTGAATCTGAGCTTTTGGGCAGCTGCAAAGCAGTGGTATGTGTTCATTGGATATTCAATCATTACCTCAAGACTTTGACTTCATTAGTTTCTATAGTGGGAATCAAACTTGGGATAGCCCGTTTCTACATCTTATTGATTTATTGAAACCTGCTGGTTCCTTGACCCCCTTCATTCAATGAATTGACATAAAAAGTGAAACCAGAATTCACACCCACAAGTTGTGATCCATTTTGAACTCCCCAAAGATGGTGAGAACATTTTTTCTCATTTCTGAAAATGGCTCAACGGCTCTCTGAGATCGTCGCGCATGACCTGCGCCTGGCTGCCGTGCAACGAGCAGAGAAGATCGTGGTCATGGATCGAGGTTGGGAGATGGCTCCAGTTTGGGTCGGAAGTTTAGAGTTTAGTCATGGCATGGAAAACTCAGAAATATTTGGGGATGGGTTTGGAGTTGATGGGGTTGGCTTGGATGATTTTCTAGATTACGCGAAATGGGGTGGTTTTGATAATACGGTTTGATGGGTTTGGGAGTTGTTGATGGATTATTTTAAAAAGCGTGTTTGGATATGATACATGGTAAGATGGGTTTGGGAATTGATAAGTTTGGTAGTCGATGGCTTTAAGATGATGATCATGCTTGAACATCATGGATTTCCGGCCAATGTTCGGTCCAGATGAACATCTATCTCTACCCTTTGGTAATCAAACAGTGGAATGGACCATTACTATTACGCATTTATGCATGATTTTGCCATTCAACTGCCAAAGTATAGGGGATTTCCCATTTTGTTTGATTTCCGGAGGGTACCCACATATTGAAATGACTGAACTACTGAATTGGATGGATTGGATGGCTAGTACGGTCAAATATGGATGTCCCAAAATGTTCAGACGCACGGTACGCACGAAAGGAAGTTGGAACAACACGTGTACCCCTTTTGTATCCTTTTGTCCCCGAAGTAATTGATTGAAAGTGAACACACTTAGATCATCAGAACTTGGATTCATAGTTCGCCAGGTTTGGTTATTTCTTTGTGCAACCAATTGGATGAGACCCAAGACGCCCACCAGGACATACCAAGGACATACCAGGTGACTTCATGGTGACTGCAGGACCGAAGGCTCAAGGCGAGCTCTTCAGACATCGCGTCATGGGACGGATCTGGGATCTGGAGCCCCTGGAGCCATGGCCCACCTCTTTCCGACTTTTCAAAGGGAAGCCACCGGCGGAACCACCCATCCATTGTGGTGGGGCGGCAGATGAGCAGAAGGAGTTACTGGAAACCATGCAACTGAGATCAGCTGGAGAACGGAGCACGGGGAGGAAAGAGGATGGCCCCGCAACCAAGCAGCTGAAGAATTACATGGCGGAACAGGAGGGCCAGCCGCCGCCGAAAGCCTGTGCTGGTCCGAAACATGATTTCAGTGGAATGAAGAAGGAGACCTTGATAGCGACACCTTTCAAGATTGAGAGGCACGGGCTCTGAATATTTATGTCCTGTTTTAACATCACCAAACTGGATGGTTGGAGATGAGATCAATGAGATCCCTTATTTTTGATTATTCTTGTATGTGTTTGTTGGATAATTAGAGACTAAATAAAGACATGTCACCAGCCACCCTGACCACCCTGTGAGGCTGTGGACTGAGAAAACTCCTGATGAGAACGCCCCCAAGGAACCACCAGGCCTCACACCAGGTCGACCACTGGGTCGTGGTCCAAAGTTTCCTGGTCGAGAGGAACTGATCAACGAAGGTCCATTTCCATTGAGGTCTCGAATAGCTCAGCACCTGGGACTTCTGAGCAAATTTCGACATTTTCTTTTTGAGAAATCCTTCAGTTTTTTTAAGGGGGACTTTCATTTTACTTGGCTCATCTTGGCTCTGAAATGTCAAATCTATCCAAATCCCAGGTTGGCTACACACGTCTACTATCTCTGGGGCGAGGCCAAATTCACGGATTATTTAGCTCGTGGAACTCCCGCGCAAACCGCCGCGCTGAATCTGGAGCACTTTGCCCGTCAGGCGCACCATGCAGCGGGCCAACTGCTGGAAGATTCCCATGTGCCGTTGGCAAGGCCACCACCCAACTTGCCAGTGGAGGTCAGCGAAATCCCACTGCTGCTGCTACCTTTGAGGCATGGAGTGGAAACTGCCAGAAAGCATGGAGAATTTCTGTAGTCTCACAGCCCAGGAAGATCTGAAGCGAGGCCCAAAACAGTCGATTTTGAAGGTTTCTGATGCTGTGGATTTGTTTTAGAGATCCTTCCCAAGCCAAGCTCAACAAGGATTTCCATTGATGATTAAGAACCATCAGGCATTCCTTAAAATAGTCCTGCAATATGTTGTGAACCCAAGCACTTGGGATCCCAAATGCAATGATCTTCTGCAGAGGACGAATCTTGGAGCAGGGACGACATGCAGAACTGCTGGAGTTGAATGGCGCCTACAAGAGGATCGGGGCGCCCAGCGATGCTCCACGGCTGTTTGATAACATGATGTTGACAAACAAACAACAATTGCGGGAAACTATGCAGGAATGTAGATTCAGTTTCATTTTTTTAATTGTATATTTCCTGTGATTTATTTCGCCATTGACATGATTGGATGTCGCAGATCCATGCGGATCCCAGAATTTGCAGCATGATTCAATCAAGGTCAACCAATGACACGCTCATTTTTTTGAGGGTGCTCAACCATCAACCAGTCAGGGCAGATGTTCATTTCCGCCAAGCTGAGATCTCCGGATATGAACCGAAACGAGGTCCTTTTCCCTGAAGAAACTGGGAGTACCCTACGTAAGTGATCTAAGTGATGTGAAGCTCCCGGGGTGTACCAAGTACTCAACTGGTCCGGTGGTTCAACTCATACTTCTGATTTTCCTTCTTTTTTGGGGTGATGGAAACCATCATATTGTTGCACACATTGGTATAGTTATATCATGTTATATCATTGGTGGTTAAACCGAAATATTATGAACTCATCGAAGGAAGTTTAGAAGTCAAACTTCCGACAATATGGACAGATGGAAAAGCAGAGGTGGGAAGAGCAGAAGAGAGAAGATCAGAGAAAGAGTGAGAAGAAAGAAGATGCAGGTGCGCGAAAAGGTAGCAAAGTCGCGAAACACTGTGTTTTTCCAATGATTTGTGGCTCCGGAGGGTCAAAAAGTAGGCTCGCTCAAGCGGCGGGTGCGGAGCCATGTGGCCAGCTGAGAGATGAAAAATTGCACGCCGTTGTAGCGCGAAGCACATTTCCAAGTCAAAATGTACAAAACACACCATGTTCGGACCACTTTTGGAAGTTGAGATGTCGAAAAAGTGTATGCCGTTGTGGCGCGAAGAAGATTTCCAAGTCAAAATGTACAAAGCACACCAGGGTTGGAGCCCTTTTGGACATTCAGATGTCGTTTCGCCTGGCCGGCGCAAGGGATTGTGCACCTGGTCAAAAGTGAGCAAAAACTTGAGGGTTTTCTAGCATTTCCAAAAATGATGGTAGGCGTGGGACATTTGAAGAGGATCTGGTAAGATGCATTTTCCGTGGAGGCGCAGTACAAGAGACATGTTCATCAGAGATGTTATATAGGAGGTCAGGGCGCTGATTTCCTGAGAGGGGTTGCATTTTGGAGCATCAGATCTTCAGTTTTGGGAAGATGATTTTGTGTGAAAGGTGCAGCACTTTGTATGACCTGGCATCACTTTTTCGTGGCAGGCGCAATACTCCAGAGACATGGACTGGAAAAATCGCAAAACGCATTGGTACTAGGCCGTCAGCTCTGCATTCAACCTTCCATTATTGAAGGAAGTCTCGCAGAATTGCTTCGTTTTGATGTTGCCAACTTCAAAGATTGACAAAGTCTCGCAGAGTTGCATCGTTTTTGATGTTGCCAACTTAAAAATTGAGGAAGTCTCGCAGAATTGTTTCATTGACCTTATCAAGTTCAAAAGTTGAGGAAGTCTCGCAGAATTGCTTCGTTTTCAAGCTTGCAGATTCGAGATAGACAGACAGACAGACAGACAGACAGACAGATAGATAGATAGATAGATAGATAGACAACTACAACTACACTACGCTACTACTACAACTGCAAATGCAAATGCAGCTACAACTACATTACAGTACACAACGCTACGCTACACTAATTACATTATATTACGCTACAACTACAGCTACAACTGCAAGGGCAACTAAAATTGTAACCACCACTAAATTGCGCTACACGACGCTACACTACCTTACGCTACACCGCACTACAACTGCAACTACACTACCTTACGCTACACCACACTACACTAGACTACACTGCACTATACGACACTACAGTACACAACACTACAGTATACTACAATACACTTCGCAAATTACACCACACCACAACTACAACTACAACTCCAACTACACTACAAGTATTACACATTACAACTACAACTCCACTACACCACACTACAACTACAACTACAACTGCACTACACCACACTAGATCCAGCAGTTGTGGGTGAGGTGACCACTGCCACCATTGCAGCCACTCCAAAAAACACAACTTCAACCACCTTTCGGTCCATCAATGGATTCGCTCTGCCATCCGTGATTCACAACAACCAACCTCTCCTATAGGTTTCCTATTTTTGAACTTCCGCCGCCGCCTTGCACGGTATTTACAAGCGTTACAAGGTTATTCCACTAAATATCATATTCATATCATATTCATAAAATCCCCATATTTTTTCAGCGTGGCATGGCGCAGGCTCATGGAAGATCAGCGGCTCCCGACTGAACACACGCCGCGCATTTGAAAACGCCAGTTGAATTGGTGGATCAATTGGAAGTCTAGCGGGCGCTTTTCTTGGGAAAATCCGTGACAATCCCCACCAGAAACCCGTAAAAATCCATGGTATATCGCATTTCCCATGAAATATCAATGTTTCCTGTGGATTTTCCCACCAATCCAATGAAATTGGCATTTGAGATGATTTTGGGGTGGGTCACGACCGATGATAACAGGCCTAGCACATTTGACAAAACATATGTTGGGGGTATGTAGTATGAACATCCATAAATCCCAGCTGTTTTGGTATGAACAGCAGAAGCACACGGGTTTTTATTCATACAGGTACCAGTTCAAGCCAAGTATTGTTGATTTGGGGATGATCGGGCTCAATTTATCAAGTGAACATTGGGGATGTGGGATGGGTGAAATGAAAAGGTACATATAAACATAGATCAAACTAGTGTTGATAAACTGAACAAGACATTGGAAGGTTCCTTTTAATGATGTTGCAAAATTGACCACGTGTTGGGACACCTCGCCGCCTCAAGCCACATCATTGGAGCAGAAAAACTACTGGATTTCTGGTAATTTCTGGCAACTAAGCTGCCGATCTTCCACTGTTAATTTTGATTTGATGTTGTAGCTATGAGTCTCCTCAAGATTTCTTTCCAGTGGCAGTGGTGTTGTGAGCTTTTCAAGCGAACGCCGTGGCAAGCAGCGGCAAGCGTGGCGCATGCAAGGTGCGATGCTACAGCCATTGTTTATACTCTTCGGTGATCAAAGATAGCAAAGTAGGAAATCCACTCTAAATGAAGATTTTAGTGATCTTAATGGGAAAAATTATCGAACTAAATGGGGGCGGGGTTCGTGGATTTTCCTGCACGCCATGTTTGAGTAGCGGAGGTTAATGGGATGAGTGATCTAGAAGCCGTTTCTGATCCGTTTCTGGCAAGTGCAGCGAAGAGGAATCCCAGCATTGGAGGTCCAATGACTACACTCAGTATGAAGACATATACGCACATATACATATAAATATATATAATATTTATACACATAATCCAGTATATACATTACATATACATGCATTACATACATACATACATACATACATACATACATATATAAATAAATATTTACGTAAATACATACACATTCTACAGTATATACATTACAAATACATGTACATATGCATACATACATACATACATACATACATACATACATACATACATACATACATACATACATACATACATACATACATACATACATACATACATACATACATACATACATGCGCACACACACACATACATACATACATACATACATACATACATACATACATACATACATACATACATACATACATACATACATACATACATACATACATACATACATACATACATACATACATACATACATACATACATACATACATACAACATACATACATACATACATACATACATACATACATACATACATACATACATACATACATACATACATACATACATACATACATACATACATACATACATACATACATACATACATACATACATGCATACACTACATACACTACATACACTACATACACTACATACATACATACATACATGCATACATGCATACATACATACATACATACATACATACATATATACATACTGTTATACTGTTACATACATACATACATACATACATACATACATACATACATACATACATACATACATACATACATACATACATACATACATACATACATACATACATACTCTTACATACATACATACATACATACATACATACATACATACATAAATACATACACACATATATATATATATATATGAGCATAACGTGCTTCACCGCCCCCACCCAGTTGTGCATGTTTCAGAGATGCTGTGCACGTTTCCCAGCAATTGTGCACGTTTCACAGAAGTCGCGCACGTTTCACAGAAGTTGTGCACGTTTCACAAACCCCCTAATGATGTTCGTGTTCAAGTGCATTGGGGCGACCAAACACGTTCTCCCGATATGTATATATATATATATGTATATATGTACATATGTTACATATACATATACATATACATATACATATACATATACATATACATATACACACATAATATATATATATATATATGCAGACCTATTTTTTCTGTAGAAATTTGCCTCCTCTTGTCGACTGTGCCTGATACACTTCAACGTGACATTCTCCGCCTCAGGCGCCCTTTTCCAGTCCTTTTCCACAGGCGGGGATTCCAACATCTGTGCTATGATCAATGTGGCTATGGGTCAATATTGAGTAGAAGAAGTAGATGGTTAATATTAAAGCTATATCCTAAAATCTTCGGGCTCAAAATTTGAACCCATCCCTATGTGAATGCCACGCAGGTCAATCTGGTGGATCTCCAAACTTGGTCTGGACTCCTAGACGTCGGTCGTGTTTCCAGGGAGACGAGCTCACGGAAAATGGATGGATGTTACACTGAAAATCATTCAACAGCCATCCAAATGGGTACATCCAAATGGTTAATGAAACTCAGTTAATGATGGATGTTACACTGAAAATATATGATAGAAATTTGGGTTTCAAATATTTTCATATGGATTACCCCAAATTTCTAGCTAAAACATCAGCCATTTTTGGGGTTTCAACCGGCATCCCAATGATTTGACCCGCCACGGCTGTCCAGGATATGGGCACGAGCCTCATCCGTGCCTGCTGTGAAACCTTGACACAGGCAGTTTGGTGAGGTCTCACCAGCATTTGGACGGGTAAACAAGTTAGTTTTATGG